CCAAAGATGTGATAAACCACAGTTAATTTATGTTTTAACAGGGGGGGCAATCACTTTTTCACACAGGGCCATGTAGGTTTGGATTTTTTTCCCCCCTTAATAATAAAAACCTTCATTTAAAAACTGCATTTTGTGTTTACTTGTGTTATCTTTGTCTAATATTTAAATTTGTTTGATGATCTGAAACATTTAAGTGTGACAAACATGCAAAAAAATAAGAAATCAGGAAGGGGGCAAACACTTTTTCACACAATTGTATATGTAGTTCAAGAAATATAATCTCACCTGGTGAGAGCAGCACGGCAGCACTGAAGAGAGCCATCTCTTCCTCGGACATCTGTATACGGCTCATGCTTTTAGCAAAGTCGAACACTGCACTCACCAGGTCGTCACAGCCTAGACGGAAGGAGAAGGATAAATTCGTCATCAAAACAGAAACTACTGGCTGGGATGTGTACGTGTTTCCCATTAGAGGAAAAAAGAGAGAAAGAGAGAGCGACAGCGAGAGAGAGAGAGAGAATGTGTCCACTCACCAAGTGCTTTGAAAAGATGAGCAGCTGTGAACTTTCCATCAAAGAGCATCGTATTGTTGATGGGGTTGTAGGCCCGACACATACGGATCAGAAGAACATCCAAGCAGCCTGTGAACACACAAGGAGAAGATTAGTGGCATGTACGTATTTAAGTATTTGAAATAGAGGAAAAGGAGCCTTAAAAATCCTTGTCAATTATCTACTTAAGCCATGTTCAGCAGCTATGCTGAGAAGAACTAAGCGGTTGTAATAGTTCATTTGAAATTCACAAATTTTATGAGGATAAAATGAAAAGGAGCAGCGAAAATAAAACCATTATTTTGATCCCTATACGTTGTTTTGGCCTGCTTAATGCAGTCATCTAGAGAAAAATGTGCAAAAATCAATCAAGAATACCTTGCACAAAAAAAGGTAACTCCTCTGACAAGAACAGTGAGCGGTTCTTTTAAATAATCACCACTTGTAAAATACCTGACGTGTTTTAAGAGGAAGACTTCTTATTCAAACAAAGTGGGGCTAAATCTGCCCCGTCAGGATTACATTAAGTAGAACATTCTTCACTGACAAGTTCATTTCATTTAATTTATTGAGAGACCTATGAATGACGGGGTAATTATCACCCGCACAACAAAGGATGTGATTAACATCATAGAAAGGTCATTAAGTCACTGGTTCATACCTGACACAGACAATGTTTGGTCAAGTGACTTATGATTATGTGGTGCTGTGGATCTGACACATTTGAAGTGACTGTCAGGCCAATCGGAATTTCTCACTGGCCGGCATTTTTTGTCAACCATGTAGCCGTTCTCCACCCTTCAGGTGTAACTGGCATTTGGCGGATCGGGTGTGGACGCATCTTTGTGTCTTTTAAACGTGGTCAACATTTTATGATTGACACATCTAATTAAAAGCGCAGTGGGAAAACCTTTGCGAGTGCTTCTTCCTCGTGAAATTAGAATACTTTGGTGGCCACTCAAAGCCAGTAATCTATTGGTGGAAATAACTAGTTGTTCAAGATGTCACTGAAAAAAACCCCATCTATTTAAAATTTCCAATCACGTGACGGCCTCCATGAATTACGGGTGGAAGCACTTCATGGCGTGACTGAGACAAGGCCGGCCATTCTTCAGAAGCCCCTTTTGCTTGCATGTCTTGTAAAAGAACAGCTCCTGACTGTTGCGTGGCTAAACACGAAGCATAGAACGGACTTGAACCTACAAGGGGAGCGTATGCTGGCGTCGTGCACTGACCTGCTTTGAGGAGGATGATCTGATCGTTCTGACAGAGGTCCATGAAGCCAGAGATGCGCTTGGCAAACTCTACCACGTACTGGATTGCATTGGTGATTTGAATGGCGCATTGTTGCCACATCGCCTCAGCCGACTGAAAAGAGAAAGCAAGAGACAGGGAGGCTTTTATGAGAATTTCAATACAAGTTGCATTCCATTGTTCTCTGCTGTGCTTATCTAGACTCTGGTCAAGTGATTTCCCCCTAAAGACGTCCTGACCTGCTGTGCATTTGCTCCATCTCCCTTATAGCCCCTATGTACCTTATATGTCCTACAACATTGACTAGTGAGAGAAAAAGCCCTCTGTGAGAATCAACTATGGTGATACGAAGGGAACACTTCTATTGTTTTAGTAAATTACCATGTGGAAGTTTTACAGTTGATTTTTGTGCAAGGTAAAGAAAAATGGAAAACCTCCCTCACAATACAGTTCTTGTAATGTGGATGAATGTCGCATGCATGCAATACAGTAATGTGTGATAAATACCTTGGTCTGGTATGAGCGTGTCTCTTCTGGGTTATACAAGGTCCACGCCATTCTCTTCAGCTCCTCTGTGCTGTACTGGCTCGTCTCAATATAGGACTTCAGCACACTCTGAGTTATACGCTCTGAACAGAGAGAACGTTTTTCTCAATGAGATTTATTTAAATTTAAATGAGACACACAACAGCAGCAGCCTTTACACAGCAGCTAGGCGTTCATACTGACCTATCTCAAGCAGGGAGCAGCCCTCGGGCAGCGGGTGGAGGATTGCATGTGAGAAGAGTCCAGAGTCGTGCAACAGCTGGTACTCGTGCTTGATGCTGTGGTTGGCGTCTACAAAGTCCAAGTTGGTCTGTTCTGGTGAACTCTGAGAGGATGAGGTGCTGCCTGCACTGCCGCTCAGCACGTCCAGGTTGCAGTAGTCTCCACCTGCGTCCTCGGGGGTCAGCGGCAGGTCGAAAATCAGGCCTTCCGGAATCATGCTAATGTCCTCCAGGTCGCTGAGCGCGGCGGTGGAGCTTCTCCTGTAGGTCACGTCGCTGTCCTCTCGCTCGCGGACACCAAGCGCCGCGCACTCCTGGGCCTGCTGGTGCTTCTGGACCTCTGCATACAGGCTGTCACGCTGCTTTTTGGACATTCGACCAAACTTGACCGCTGCAACAGGGAGAATGTAAGGGCCAAAAAACAAAGTTAACATTCAGGAAGGTACGGCCTACATCAGACACAGATTACATGACTCGTTAACAGTGACAAGCAAAAAGTGGGAGGTGGAAACTCGGAGTTAATTAAGTATAGATCTAGTGGCTGAACTCACCATCGCGGCTCATGCCCAGAGCGAGACACTTCTGCAGTCGGCAGTGCTGACAGCGGTTACGGTTGGTCCGGTCAATTAAACAGTTCCTCTGTCGTGAGCAGGAATACATAGCATTGTTCTGCTGGCTGCGTCGGAAGAAACCCTTCAGACAAAAAAAATAAAAGAACATACACACACACACACACACACACATATACACAAAATGTGAGCATGTTAATGTTTGTTGGCTGGATCATAAACAAAATGTGTAGAACGGTGATAACAACACCGTTAAACTACTTTTACCACTGGAACCAACAGCTGATGAGGGAGATGGATGAATGCTCACCTTGCAGCCTTCACAGGTGATGACACCATAGTGGATCCCTGAGGATTTGTCCCCACAGATTTTACACGGAATCACCTCTATTTGAGCTGGAGAGAGAGAGAAGAATGAGAGAGAACAAAACAAAACAAAAATCAGTGAACATTTCACAGATACGGACCTCAAAACGTAAGTTACTTGGTTCGATTTGCATCTACAAAAACCCGTCACACAGTTAAATACATCTTTTGGTCACCATTGCAATGTAGATAAGTAGCCGGAACATTCAACATCTTCTTTTTAGGCGTATCATGCTGACTGCAGTTATTGTCAACATAACACATCAAAAGAAGTGGGCAGCTTATGATAAATCAATATTTACTCTACACAATCCTGATTTTTTTTTTTTTTTTTTTTTAACTCAAACCAGACCACCACCACCTTCCATGTGACTCTTGAATTTTCTCACGAGAAGTCCAGGTTATTTATTGACAGTCAAGTGTCGTCTGTGCATTACAAGGTTTGAAATGCGGCTAATAACGACGACATTCATTGCTTCGATTGTGAAGAAAGTGTCACGAACACGGTGGACGTTTACATTATACACCTTGAGTTGATTGTGGAGGCCTGAGCCTTCTTACTCAGGAACAGCCTGTTCTTTTCATTATGTTGTTTATCTAAGTAGCCGGGCCTCCTCAAGCCCAGAATAGCAGGTCAATTGCATTAGCTGAGGCCCGGGGTTATAAGGTTTCACGGCTCTCTCTCTCTGCGTCGCTCCTCCTCCAGGATGACAACATGTTAGCAGGTATGCTGTGAGAAAAAGGCATACTGCTGTGCTGAACCCTCCAAGGGCCTAAGATTGTAACCCACAAAACAACCGCAACTGACTGTTACTGTGTGCGCGCAAAATGTTGATTCGGCACCGGGCAGCAGGGTGAGCCAAACAATCCCTAAACCACTTTCGTTGGGTCACAAGGGGTATTAGGCAACCTGTAAATCTCAGCGATGGCTTTAACCATCGCAGCTCTCCAGAAAATTGCTGTTTTCTAAAGGCTCTTTGATAAACCACATCACGGCCAACCAATCACATGAGTCACTCTGTGTGGGGAGAGCTATATGCATCACACAGACAGGCAAAGCAAAGGAGTTTAGTGACCGACAGTACCATGAAAATCACAACTATAACATTCTCCCCCCCCCACAAAGACTTTCTGTGCAGTGCAGGAGACATATTTTGAGTGCTTTCTCCTGGCCAACACAACTGAGGGGATATAAATAAATAAATAAATAAAAGGCAATGGAAAAAAAAATCCCTTTCTATTGCTCCCTTAAATCCCCCCCTCTTCGGCCTGTTATATAACTCCCGTCTGGCCGCATTCCACGAACACACTCATTCAAAAAGGTGGTTGCCTTGGCAACAGGGCGACGAGCCTCCCTCACTCCCCTGCGCTGCCATTGGCTGTCGAGTCAGCGGCTTTTGTCCGTGACTCGCCGGTCTCACCTGCCAGTCAGCCGAGCGTCACTGTCAGGCCCAGTGAGCAAAAGCTGCTCCACTGACACAGTTTCTCGTGGGGGCTCGGGGGGGCTCTCTTGCAGATTTTAAAAAGGTGGAAGAAAATCTGACTCAGGGCTTTTTAGTCAAGGCAAGGGTGGAGTCGTCCCTTTTTGGTTTGGAAGGAAAACAATATTGAAACCCCGACCGGGGCCAAACTGCCACTTGAGCAACATCTGGAAATATTTCCCGAAACATCTCGTACAGTAAGCTGCAGCAGGTGCAACTAACATGGCTAAGAGTAGCTCTTAACTTGTTGCAGCACGTCAAGTATTTGAGTGAAATTTCAGCCGTGTTTGAGCTCGACCACACATCTATTTTTACTCCGGTGCAGCTGGCTGCCCGGAGATTCCTTCTGCCGCTCTGGTCTATTGGCAAATAAACATTGCACAAATCACAGCTCAGCGCAGAAGTGGACACTGTTTAGCGTAAATAACAGTGTGCAGATTATTAGAGGAGTCTCTGACAACTAAAACAGTGTATTCTGCTGCCACCATACATTATTGGGTATGTTGAGATGCAGCATAGGCCTAAAAAAACGGTTTCATTATTCTCATCGGAGTTTCTTTGGAGAACTTGGTTCTTATTCAGCAAGTGCTGACGCAAACAAGAAAAAACACCTATTCTGTGTTTAAATGCTATTAACATGTATTAAAGACGACTTGTTTAAACACAATGTCTATATTTGAGAAGGAATGTAATCATAGCTGAACTTCTTTGAATTTTTTAATTTAACTGAATAGCTTTGAAGTTTAAATAGAGCTTGAACAATATCCAGTATATATGCAAATGACGAGCCAGTAACTTAATACACCTCACAGGAGCTTTGATGTACAGTTCCTGCTATGCCAAGTTGGAAAATCCCTCCCATCAGAATTTGCATATAATTTCCTGGAACCTTATTGCAGAAAATCATATTTTAACACTTAGAGCTTTTAAACTCTATGTGGCGATTTAAAAGTGCTTTTCTGTGTCTGTCGGTCAGAGCTTTTCTTCATCACTGCAGTAAAACCTCTGCTAGGGAGACTTTGCTCGCTCATCCCAGCTAATAAAATGTCCAAGGTCCTATTTACCTTGAACTTAACATTTACATGACATGCTGCATACTCTACCTCCATTCTGAGGGGCTTCTGGGGCCTCTATGGGAAGAACAGCATATGTGGTGTATTGTGCAATCCCACTGACCTACCTAGAGAACGCAGGTATATGACCCGACACTAACCCAAAACTCGTTTCGGTATTTACTCAGCCGATGCAATAGTAGTGGGACGAGAGTTATTATTGTACACCGAGTCCACTGCACAGGCCTGCATCATGCATCGCTCTTAACTGTCGCCCTTGCTGATGTTTTTTGTATCGCTGTAGACTAGAGTATCACTGACACAGTGTGTTATAAGAGACTGCAATTATTTCCTTTCATCGTTCTGTGAGGCAGTCAGCAAAAACTAGTTTCCTGACAGTCTTGTTAATTGTATTTCTATCCGCCCACATCCTAAAAATTAGGTCAGCAGCACAGCTGTTGGCCCAATCAGGTGAGGATACTTTCACTTTTTAATCCTTCCCTCTCTTCTTCTGCTGCATGCCTTATCGTTGATGTAATGGATCCCCCGACTATAAACAATAAAAACAATGTTATGACACTCCTACGTACTCCAACCTTTTCCCACGTTTCTCTCACATGCTGAACAACAATGCTAACAAACCAGTCAGGGAACCAGTCCGGGAACCAGTCCGCACCACACACTGTGCCTCTGTAATCCCTCACCATTGATCAGAGAAGATAAAAGTGCGTTCACTTGATGGTGCTGTTTGTGCAGCTCCGACCTTAAACCCAAGTGGGCCTCCTCCACAACGCAAGCAAAACCAGACGGAGGAATTCAGTTCGCAGCGTGTCATTTTGCATGCGGCTCCAAACCCGCAGGAACAAATTTAGGACGACGCTGCCGCAATCACAGCGGCCTTGAACTAAAATCTCTTTAAATGTCACTTATCCGTATGCATACCTGGAACACAGATAGGATAGTACATAGGCCTATGAAAACGACCTAAGATACTGAACCGGAAAATATTATTCGTATGTAATCATTGTTTGCATTGCTGCGCTGCAAAACAAGTTGCAATGACTTTTTGCCTGCATGCAGGCTGGGTTGAGAGTTAAAGCTTTAGATAAGAAGAAAGGAATCTCAGCGTGAAGTTGTCGTAGAGAAAGGGCACGTTGACACACACTGTATGCGCGCTGTGAACGACGTTAAGGCTGCAACAGATAGCGGCTTTGAGAGCTTTCCTCTTTACGGCCACCTTTGATCCCGGGCTACCTGGGCTCCAACTGTCTTATAAGGCTTAGTCCACTGGGGCGTAAAATCTTTAAGTGCTTTATTTACGTTTGCCTGTTTGATCATGTTGCATCACACCAACCTAGCGTGATTTTGCAACAGTTTACAACAACAACAACAACAACTCTGAGACAAACAACAGCAAAAAAAGTACAACAGCATTGTTTGCAATCTATCAGGGGAATCAGGAAAATGACGACTATACACCGCTTTTTCCTTGCAATGCTTGATCGGACTGACACACACTCTAGTTGATGTAAGGAACATTAGCCGGCAGAGGAACCCGAGCTTCACTGCATCCTGCTGTGCGTCACGGTTACATGTGGACTTGCTGTGCTCATATCCTGCTCGCCATCACAACTCCACAAAACTGTAACCTGTTCAATCATTGTACAAGTTAAAAAATACACAACAACAGACTTGTTTTTCCTAATTTCACATATAAAATATGTATCAAAGAACGTCACATCCTCCAGTGCAGCTTAAATCTACAATATTCTAAAGAGGAACATTGTGTCCGATAACGAATTAAAAATATTATTGTCTCATTAGTAATGACGACAGACCGTGGCACTCCACCGCCAGGAGCGCGCACACACACACACACACACACAGTAATCCTCAATGACAGAACTAGGTCAATGGAGCACATATCTCTCTCTCTCTCTCTCTCTCTCTCTCTCTCTCTCTCTCTCTCTCTCTCTCTCTCTCTCTCTCTCTCTCTCTCTCTCTCTCTCTCTCTCTCTCTCTCTCTCTCTCGCTCTCTCTCTCTCTCCTGCTGAAAACAAAAACACGCTCGCTTATGAATTATAACTATTGCATTAAATCATAGTCCAACACACCATCAATGATTTTGAGGCACATTAATTAAAACATCACACGCATTTAAAAAAAAAAAAAAAGAATAAAAAAAAAGAAATGTCGACAGTACAATTTGTCAGACTAATGGTTGGGTCATAAAAAAGTCTGACTAAAGTGTAATAAAGGGAGGAAGACCTAAGAAAAGGGGGACTATTCATTCACCGTAAACAAACCCTGCCAGCAGCTCTTCTCTCGGTTTGACAGCCTCTGAATTGCTCCCTCCCTCACTCCTTCCTCTCGTTTACATAACTGGAGTCACCGCTGAAATTAAGTAATTCAAAGCTACAACGCATTCCTCTCGTCAAAGGAAAATCTAAATAAATGCACATAATCTTTACAGTTTATAGAAATAAACTCAACACACTTTGCGAATATTTAGTTTTGCTGTAGTTAAAAAAAACGCTTTTTTTTTTTTTAAACACCCGAAAACGTGCCTATTAAGCGTTTAACAATTTTATTAACACTTGTCAAGGCCCTTAAGGTGACAGTTTGCTGCATAACCTAATAAACTGTGTATTTTATGTGCCTCTGTGGTGTGAACGATGTTTTCTACAAGTGCGAGCCCGCAGCCTACGCACTTTAAACCGTCGCACAGCCAGCAGCGCCTCCAACGCGCTCAATGCAGCTCAAAAGTTATTTACAAACACAAACAAAATACATTTTAACTAATTCCACAAGCTCACCTCTCATGTCGGCGGTGAAGTGTAGTCAACTCTTCAAGTCATGCAACTCCAGGTGGAAACGAAGCCGAGAAACACGGAGAGCGACGCGCACTTATTCGCTCCAAATCCGGAGCAGCTGAAAACTGTCACAATAGCAAATCCTCACATGGATTTTTCTACCCCTTTTTTTTTTTTTTTTTTTCTTCGCACGCGCCGACCTTAAAATAAATGAAAGCACCAGTGTGTTGTAGTTATGTACTTCCTGTCTGCGCAGTCTCAGAGGTACTGTTGCGATAAAAACACGTCTACGGCTGCTCGTCCTCTCTCTGTGCTGCTCTGCGGCTCGCTGCCTGTAACCTGGCTTCGGCGCGTGGACTACACATGATCCTCCTCACCCCGCGGTCCGCCCGCCTCGTGCCCCGTGATCTGACGCCGACGCGCGCGCGCGCGCGCCAACGCCGCCCTCCGCGCGCTTTCAGGAAGTTCTCGCTTGCGTGGGAAAGTGTGGCAGTGTGTCACTTCAGACCGACAGTCTACCAGCGTGGGAACTGTTTAATAACAAGCGCACCGTTTTATTTCTACGCAAATGTTCCCGGATGAAAAGGAACTATGCAGCATTTTAAATTATAGATCAATAAAGAGCTCTCCATGGCCACTTTAATGTGGGCTATGCATTCTTAGATTGCAGATTTTTAAACAGACGTAAAGGGACGTACTGGTGTTATTACATTTGTTGATACATGTTTTCATACACTATGAAAACATGCAAATTGCAATATCAAAACATATTAGAGGATATATATATATATATATATATAAACAGATTGTTACATACAGAAAATAATGTCAACCAGTGGCCACATAGAAGAAGCAACACGAATTTGACAATCTAAAGAGCTTCATGGTAGCCTATATTTCTTCTAAACGGGCAGGGCAATAGAAAGTATACGACTTTATTGTACAATTAAACTGTAAAATTTGTATTTCAACATCACTTTTTGTGATGTGTTTTCTCCAACTGTATATATTTCCTCAGGGAGCAAAGATGTGAATGTGCATTTATTGTCTTCCTAATTTCCCTCATGGTGGTGATAGAGTTTCCATAGCTTGTTCAAAAACACACATATTTCTTCCTCTTTCAACAGATTATATGAAGCATGACTGTGTTTGGTTGTTGGAAAAAGACCTGCTGCAAACACAAAACAAGACAGACATAGAAACCCCCAACACAGCAATGGACCAAAGCTATAGCCTATTTCTCTCTAAGACATAATGTAAGATATACTGGCTTACTTTCGTGAATTAATTAGCCATATCTATGATAAGAGAAGCTTTTGTGTCCTCAGTTTCCCTTTAGCTGGATGCAACACTGTAACTCTGCAGCATTATATCACCGGATTAATGAACACTAATCTTGGTGGATTTAAGTGTGATCACAGGTTGCTGTGCTGTGTTTTGTTTTGTTTTCCATTTCCTGAAATCCTGCAATCCAGGGCATGTTTTTAAAGCAGCGAGGGTGAATGCTTTTTTAACCCAATGTGTATCAAGATGAATCAAATGTAATAATTAAACATAATATTATAATAGTATATTTAAAAACATTCTGTTCAGATGTTTTGTACACATCTCTTGATGCAAAATGCAAAATGCATGAATGTATACAGTATGTGTGCATGTATGCATGTATGTTTGTATGTATGCAGAGTTCACCGGGTACATTTTTCATTCCTCCGACACAAACAAAAGCCATTAATAACAATAATGCAGATGAAATTAATTGATTGGCAAGGTACGATGACGAGTGTATCATGTAACTCGGGCGCAGTTATGAAATGAGAAGAGAGAGATTATGGTAAGTAGGTTAGTGGAGCAACACCAGGCTTTCACACCCCTCCCTTTCCCAACTCTCTGCTATGCATATGCGTGGTGAGTCTCCGCCTTGTCTTTCTGTCTTTTTCCACTGTGAACGCTTCTGTCCTGAATCATGTCTAAATCAAAGCTCATCATTTTAAATACAATCTCTCAGCACCACCTATGCAAGCTGTATGTTCCTACACCTCTCTACTGTTTGCTGGTCTATACTTTTCTACAGATCCTCTCTCACACACTTGTGCAATTGTAAAAACAACAACATTAGAACACAAATGCAAAGCAGTACTGTGTTTGCTTCTTACTGAATGCACACTTTTAAAAACACAATGCTGGGAAAAAGGTTGAAAGTGATTATTATGTTCTCTGCTTGTAAACTTCCTCTTCCTCCCATTTCAACGTGGTTTTGTCAGTCTGATGGTTTCCTTCCTGATCCTCATCTGCCGTCTTTCTCGTGGTTATATTTTGTCCCTCTGTCGCCATGAAGCAGCCACACATCCATCCGGTGTTCGTCTGCAACATCAGTGACCCCCTGACCCCTGAATCTAATGTAACCATGGCAATACCCAAATTAGAACAGAGAGCACGGAAAGAAGGCGGCGCTTAGAGCTTCGAATACAGGCATGTATCTCCCGACCAGCTTTCCAGATTAAGGCAGATGGAATGAACGCGCCTGCCGCTGTGTGTGTGTGTGTGTGTGTGTGTGCGTGTGTGTGTGCGTGCACTCTGTGTGTGTATGTGTGTTGGGCTTGAGAGACAGAAACTAAAGGGGAAATCAAACACCTCCTCAACAGAGGTGGTGATGGTGATGATCACACCTTTGGAAGTGCTTTCTGGACGTTCAAACTGTGGCGCACGAATGCAATGACAATTTTACAGCTCAAACTGGCCTCTACCCCACGGCGCATAAAGCCCAGTATACTGAGAGGATTATTTTAGGATTCAGGCTCTGGCTTCCATAATCCTCTCTCTCCTCTCCCTCATCCAGCTAAATCCTCTCCCTTCTCCCTTTTCAAATGCCCACTAATCTGTCTCCCTCCGACTCTCTGTGCGGCTGTAATCTGGTTTGTACCTACTGTATCTTTCACCTGAATCAACATCAATAGGTCAGTGTGCTAAACTACAGGGTGCTGCTTCCCTTTTCCTCCTGTGAGACTTTTTCACAAGTCACTACTTTCTCCTCCTCAACCTGAATGATGTCCTGACTGGTCTTTGACTGAAATGTGTGCTTGAAGTATCAATATCTTCAGGCTGAAGCCATCATTTTACACGTCATTAAGAATGAAAGTTCAGTCTTTAACTTTGGGAGCAGCAGTTGACAATATAATCCACAGGCCCTATTTAATAGCTCTTCTGTGGCTTCTATTGTATCACATGATCTTAGCAGATGGAATTTCCCAGTTTTAATGTTGTCATCGTTTCTAATGGAGCCGTACTCTTCAATGGATAATTACATGTTTTTAAAAAGATGTGACGGTAGAAGATGTATACTTGCATATTTACATAATAACGGTAATATGCTGATATTCAGCAGGTATTATGACCCCCATACAACTTTATTGTGTTAGCATGTCAGGATTAGCTAAACATCACAAAGCAACAGATGTGACATAGTATGAGGGTGGAGCTAAGTACAACCGATCGCTGAATAAGACATTTTTAGGCAATCAAAAAAGGTTACAATTAACTTACATAAACTGAAAACACCCAGACCGGACAAAGTTGTTGTAGCGACCTGTCAATCACAAGGTTGCCCCGCCCTAAAGCATACCCTGCTTTATCGTCTATTTTACTCTAAATTGGATTATAATTTACCAAATGAACATCATGCTGTATTGAAGAAGACTTGAAACTATAGCAATTGATACCATAAACTCATGTTCACAATGCTTACTGACCTAATAAATCAAGTGAGAAGTAGGTCCGTTTTCTCATAGACTTCTGTACATACATACATAATTTTGCAACCAGAGTCGCCCCCTGCTGGTCATTCGAAATAATGCAACCTGGATGTTGCCTCCTGGTATTTAGTCATAAACCAAAGTATTGGACGAACACAAATTTTGACGTGGTGTTCGATGAAAAGTCAGAGGATTACAAAAATAATTTCTACTTATCGTGAGAGGGACATTAATGTCTGTAACAAATGTCATTGGAACAAACTAAAATATCTAAAATCAGGAGATCCTCAAAATCAGTAGAAGTCATCCTCCGGGAAATCTCAGTGTTTGTACAAAATTCAATGGCAATGAGATATTTCAGTCTGGAACAAAGTGGTGGGCCCACTGACAAAATTGAATTGTTATCCATGGAGCCATGCCACTAGAAACTGCAGAGGTAGAAAAGCTCTGTTGCTCGTCTTTAAGTGGTTTTGTAGACAAATGATCTAATTGAAAATAACCTTTAAACTGAAACTGCACTAATGCTGCTGCTTCAGTATTCTTCAGCTCACCTAAAGCCTCATCAACTACGGTTTTATGCTTGTTGCAAGGTGAACTGGATGTGACATGGTTAGCATGAGCTAATGAGCTAAACAAACAGACGGAGTGCCCTTCAGTTCACTTTTGACTTGGTATTTGTCCTCCGTCAGCAGCTGCTGATACTAGAGATGGCTGAATTTAATACCCTCAGGTACACGTCAGCTTCACCTCCTGTCATCGGGAGTCACGCTGTTTATTTGGTCTTTTGACGGGCAATATCTGAACGATAGGCATCCAATTAAAGTTGACATTTACCATGGTGTGTCTGTCTGTGCTGCTTCCGCACACAGTGTTTGTCCCGTTGTCTGTCGATAGTGCTCTGCCTCCATCTAGAAAATATCGCATCTGACATTCATGACAGGAAGAAGCGACCACAGGCATTTGCAGAGTTGTGACAGGGGTTTGATAAAAGAATAGAGGAATAGACATAAATTTAGACAGCGGAATAGATAATACAAGGACCCAGAAGAGATTATTGCAGAGATTGTGTCTGTGATAAAAAAAAAATGGAATTTTAGAGATCTGGACTAGGGATACCAGCGTACTGGGACTGCATATTCATCTTCTCAGGATGATATTACTGATCCAGGCTCAGATGAGATCATGCATTCACTGCAATACACAGGTACACACCTTTAAACACAAGTCCCGTCATTTCCACAGTTATCTTTGGATAACCAGTCAGCTGCGAAGAGCCAAAGACATTTGTGTGGCTTCTGTCTGTTAGGCCTGAAAGTCCATTACCTCATATCTCATTCCTACCATCTGCTGTTATTTCCCCCACCCTTCCTCTCATTGCTAATTAAGTGCAAATCCTGTCCTCATTTCTATGGTGACAAGTTACAACACATGTCGTTGGAGCGATGTCATCATTCATTCTTGCATTCATGTGAATGAGCCCTGAAATGTTAACTAAAGAGAAAAACTAATGTCTGGACATGTCTGCACAAGACGTAATGTATGTCCAGTGAGGCCTCCACATACAGAGGCAAGACCAGAGGGGCGTCTCCCCCGACCAGAGTCAGAGGCTTTGAAGTTGGTTTACCAGCATGAGTTG